CACTTTGTAGATCCTTTGTCAGTGTCAGCCATGTAGATGAGTCAGGGCCACTGCTTGAGCAATTTGCTCTTTGTGAAAGCCTGAGAGAAAGTTTTCTCCCCATGTGACTCTCCTTAGGCACACTATACATCATTGATCACATTCCTCGGTGGCTCCATAATCTCCCTGATCAGAAAATTTGGGGCACAACTGAGTTGCATGGATGTTACAGTACAGGTTCTCCTATGTCCTGTCTTCACTGACCAATTTTAGCTGTTATATATGAAGCCCAAAGGAACAAGTAAGCTGGCTCCTGCCTGCACCAACGGAAATTGTGGAACAAGTGCAACTGCATTTTGACTTACTGAGAAATCACACAATGTCTGAGATGAAGAGGAGGCAAGCCTGGCATATCTCTGAGCCCATTGAAAAGCATTAGCGCACATGCTAGTCTTTCTGGATGGAAAGCCAGTTGGGTTATTCACAACGGGTGCTAAACAAACCTTTCAAGTTCTGTGTCAAAACATAGACTCCTAATTTCTCTTCTTAGTTAATTTCTCTCGTTAGCTACTCTTTTGGCCATTAAGCTCTGTATCAAAATGATGGTAAACTTCTGTTCTAAATGGGTCTCTAAGGACATGGGTGAAAATGGTGTTCCAGTATTGTGAAATAAAAAAAAAAAAATAGTAGGTCCCTTGTATACTTGCACACAGTCATTTTCATACTAAATTCATAATAGAAATCCAGACTTTCCTTCTTCATCCCTAAATGAGAAATTCTCACTCCAGTCTACCCCAACCCCCACCCAAGGTTTTTGAAAGAAAAAATTATTCAGATGCTTTGGCATTATTTATCCCATTTCAGGTGGCCAGCTCTAGACTGAATAGAGGTGTTTTTTTTTTTTTCCTCTTCACATCTTAAAGAAGAAAAAGAAGAACAAAAACATGAAAGTGTTAAAAATTGAAAGATTTGGCATTTATTTCCCTGGGAAATTTTCAAAATGTTTGTGTTGACTTACTTTCTGTTCTAGAATAAACTTCAGTATAAAATAATATATTTGTAAGTTGTCCCAGTAACCAAGCTGTTCTTTATTCATAAATGACGTTGTTATGCACTGAACAACTGACTACTATGAATGAGTGTGCTATTATGATAGTGGCTAGTATGATAGCCTTTAAATTCTCTAAAAAGCTATCACAACCAAGCCACTATAACTTGGTTTTCCTGTTGAAAAAATAAAGTTATTATTATTAATATAATTGAAATTCTTTTGATCTGGTAGAAAATATTAGAGTAGGTTCTCTCTCTCTCTCTCTCTCTCTCTCTCTCTCTCTCTCTCTCTCTCTCTCTCTGGATTGATATAGAAAAGAGGAGAGATACTCTTTTTCGATCAACTACAACAATACTAATTTGAGTTTCAAGCAGCCACATTCCAAAGAAACTACACTATGATCTTCTGAAAGGAAAACAACATTTTTGCTCATAGGAAAATAAGTACAATTTTTCCTTTGCCTTCAACTCTTATCAATATCCTAATGCAAACAACCTCCACATACATGTTTAGGAGCATGAACTAAATCCCAAGACCAATAACAAAATAAAAAAAAATAAAATAAAAAAAAAGCTGACTCCTGGTTTCTGACCAAGCCAGTACCATGCATGTGAGTTTGGCTTGGATTTAGATGAGAAATTCAATAACTTAGAATAGTGAAAAGAAGACTAGGGGCTTAGGAATCAAATCCCATAGTGACCTTGGTGAGGATTTTGCTCTTTTATGGGCAGCTTAGTAGATAGGGTCAGTCTTTTAATTTACTTAACAATTTGCAGAGCGCTTTCCCATTGTAGTGCTTAATCATTTCTCCCCAACTCAATTTCCTCATCCACACAATTGGGATAATACAACTTATTGTACAGGGCTATCATAAGAACTAAATAAAATGTGTATACAAGATGACTGTGTGCTTGGCACATAAAAGCTGAATGATAATTTCTTGTCCACCTGGACCTCATATGGTTTTGCTGTTAAATCCATTTCTCAGTAAAGCATTGAGGGCTGCAGCAACCTTCCCCACACACCCAAATAGCTAACTAAGAACAGTCCTCTAATGTCGACAATTTTATTGGGTCCTTCCTGAGCAATCTTGTCATCTTGTACCTATTATAATAAATTATTGGACACTTACCAAGGGACATACATGCATTTTTATGAAGACGAACATTTCATTTCCCCTAC